CCCTTTCTTTCTTCATTTTTTCCTTCCTTTTTTCTTTCTCCTCCATTCCTCCCACGCAATGTTAAGTGTACCTATAATTTCATGGTCATTAACATTTTGCAGGGGATGAGCTGGAGCCTGCAATCCCGCAAGACACGTCGGAAGCCAACGGAGGCCATCAAAATATCCATCCCACCATCGTGAAAGGAGAGCCGGACGAAGAAGACGCAGTATTCGTCGAGGCCCAGGAGGTGGTAGGGTAGTGGCACCACCAGACCAAGCATTCCCGCTGTGGTAGGCCGCCTTTTGGATTCTTAACATCAAAACTCGCGACCGTGAAGCATATGGAGTGAGATCCCCGGAGAGCGTGCCGCGGCGGGATGTCGAAAGCGTTTGTTAGTTTTTTTAAGCCTCCCACCGCCCCGGACTATGAATACACATTTCTTGAAATATATTTTTTATCTGTACTTCGGTACACGAGCTTTGGGTGGTTACGTTATTCGTCCAATATTTATTTTCGGGGGGGGGGGGGAGGGGCTGGAGTGGAGTGATGGGAAGTTTGGGTGGGTTTGATGGGGAGTAACAAGAAGTATACCATGAAGCTGTAAACGGACTACGGAGTTTTGGGGAATAATGGAATGGAGTAATCGGGAGTAATTATGAGGCAGTAGGAGAGTCATTGAGAGTAATGGAAGGGAGTTTCAGGGAGTATGTTGTTTGTTTTGATAGGGTAAAGGAGAGTAATGAAGAGTTTTCTAAAACGGCAGGGAGAGTTACAGAGAGTTTCTCGAGGGAAGTTTTGGGGTGTAATGGAGAGTTTTAGAGGGGGTGTAATGAGGAGTACCACCTGGGAGTTTTGGGGTGTCGTTTTGGTGAACTCCCCCTGGGGGTGTCATGCGGAGTCAGGATTTTTCTCAGTGCAGTTGCCATGTGTGACCGATTCAATCAGGATTCATATGGTGACAAGAGGTGATTCAACCGACTCAATCACAGTGAGTCGGCATTTTCAAGCGATTCATGAGAATCGATTCAATCAGAATTGAATCGCTTACAAGTCTGGCTATAAGGCTCAGTAGCTTGGCATATAGCCCTAGCCCTATGACTTTAGTTTAGATATAGAGCTCAGCCACAAAGCCAGCATGGGACAAGCAGTAACACATCAAGTTTCATATCAATATGTTAACATATCAAGCTTTTCATACAATTATTTGTACAAATTTCACCTTCTTTCATGCATACAGAAGTAAATGAAGCAATAAGGAAGGCAGTTTGCCCACTTAGAAAGCGAATGCAGGAAAATTGCCAACACACCACCATTCAAAACAAAGGAGATGAGATGTTTTGGACCCTAATTGCCACCCATACACTCTTCAAGGTTTATTTTTCAGAAATGTTAGCAAAATGATGAATATCCAACTGAAAATATGGATGACAAGGATCAGCTTTTCTAATGGTTGGTCAATTTTACATCATATATGTGGCATGGTTCATTACAAATGCAATGATAGGTACCGTCTGGAAGAGCCTCGCTTTGTTTACATCAAGCCTGAAAAACAGCTGTCCAGTACAAGCCTGTTCAACAGCCAATTTTCCTGTTCAACTAAATGAAATGTGGTCTTTTGATTGGTTGCCTTCATTTCATGCACAATTGAGCGGCTTAGTGCACCTATTGTCAAACAGGTTGCTGTGCATTTTGGTTTTCAAAATGGAAATATATCATTTCCATTTTTAGAATATATCATTTCCATTTTCTGAGCAACATTTCATAAAATACAAATGATAGGTACCTAACATTTGGATAAATGGAGTGCAGATAACACAACGTGTCTGACTGATATGCGATAGATAATGGTAAGGACAAACATTGTTGTAAACTGAGATTGGGTAGGTATGCCAGCCTTGGGTATGCCTAATCAATAGCTGATTTTAATTTGGCTTTTCATTGGGTGATAGGTTGAAAACTGAAATGAGAAAAGAATGACACCCAGTGACCCATGACCCAAAGCAAATGGGCGACAAATCACAATTCATACTACTTAGGTACCTTACCTTACCTCAACCTTGTTGGTAGTTGGGAAAAAAGGCTACTTTGCCTGGAGATCCCGTTCTCATCAAGGATTCAAGCTCAGCTCAAGGTTTGGGAGTATCTAGGCTCTGTTTGTTTTGTTGGGTTAGGCCCTTTCGGTCTGACAAGACCATTGCAGAGCCGGAAGGATGATAGGAATTAGGGGGAGACATTGGTCTGGGCAGGCACCCTAATGAGTCGCCGGGGCTGAGCCCGTCCAGAGGACAGGCCACCCAGCCCCAAGGCACTCACTGTCACTGCACCCGGCTACGGGGTGCGCTCCCTCAGGAGCCGCGGTGCCGCTCCAAGGGAGCAGCCCGCATGAGATAAAGTTGCCTGTCCAGGCCGGAGGGGGGTTGCGGCGTGGAGGAGAAGGATTTCAGTATCCTGAGGATAGAAGCACGGAACGGTCGATCTAGGCTCTTAAGGGTAGGGAGTGTCGAACATGATGCCTCTCCAGTGCTTATCAAGTAGTGTCTTGAACTCGTTGACTGTTGTGGCAGACACAACTCAGTCGGGCGCACTATGGTATCGGCAGTCCATTTATAGAAACGTTTCCATTTTTGGAAGAAAGTTCAAAAAATGGAAACGCTAAAAACCAATTGTTCCAAAAATGGAAACGCTCCGTTTCTATTTTCGGAAACGCAAGGAGCACGTAAACCTGTTCGGTAGTTTCCGCAACAAACCATAGAACTCCGCATCAAACAAAGACCACCAATCAAAAGACCGCATTTCGTTTCATAATTCCAACGTTGAACAGAAAAATCGGCTGTTGAACAGGCTTGCACGGTCCACTTCATTTTGTAAACAATAGAATTTTTCATGATAGGTGAACTTTTATGCGTCGTTAATGAACTATACCTCATTTTTTGGTGGAAAAATTTGATTTTCACAAGAATGGCAATTTTTTAATTGACAGACTTGCTGTTTGGTATTCATTGATATTTTACATTGCTGTAAAGCAAGCCCTGAATAGCGTGTTGGTGACCACGTGCTCTGGCCATCTCTCCGGCTTTGGAAGGCGATAAGTTGGAAAATATTTCGTACAGATGCTTCAAAGTGGGCAAACTGAACTTCTTAGCACCTATTTAACTTACGAATGTGTAAAAGTTGGTAGAATGTACCTATGTAAATGATTGCATTAAAGATATGATATGTTACTGCTTGTCTGAACTCTGAAGCGATCCAAGCTGTTGTCCAGTTTTAAACGATTCAATAATAAGAAAAAGCGATGTCAAGGTGTTATAAACAATTTCTATGGATAGGCAAATGCTCAAACTGCACTGATTGCCCACTTTGCACTGTATTAGTTCAGTAGGCCTTCAGTTTGTGCCTGTTTAAGACCCATTGAAGAATGCTTTATGAAGCACAGTTTCCATTTTTGGAACAAATGAATTTTAACTCAAGCTGTACATACAGCTCACAGATGCAGTAGGTTATATGTATTTCAACTCTAATTTGCACTTAATGTTTTTAGAAGCACTTTCTGCCTTCCTCATTTCTAATAATCCACGGGAAGGTTGGAAAAGGTGCACGCTCTGACAGCATGAAAATGCGAACCGGAGCTTCTGAACCGGCCTGATTAGGCCGAAGTTAACTCCAACCTTACTTATAAATTCTTGCTTTTCTTGGGAAGCCAGAGTCTGTTGACTACAATTCGGGCACATCGCTTACTGCAGTCACGCATGCATGCTTGCAACAGTTAAAATATGTTATAATGTGGGTTTCGTAAGCAGTTGCAGCTTAGTAGGCAAGACGGTTGGACTGGACAGTTCTGGAGTTTATGTAGGTGCCTAGAAATTGGGGACTCTCCCCAGAAGACACATTTTCGTAAGCATTATTGTACCAACATCGGCTTTCGGGCACAATGCCCAAGCAATTGGAGGACCATTCATATGAAATTTAGATGCAAAGGGAAACCACACATATCGGAACATGTACCGGCATCAATAGCTCGGTAATTACTTAGCGGGCGTAGGGTAGACAGGCCCACATATGGTACTTATGCCTTTTCCTGTGTTGGCTCATAGTTTCCATTTTTGGAACCTTCCGTTTCCAAAAATGGAACGTTGACAAGGGTTTGCATCAGGGCATCAGATTCCCCATTTGCGTACAAAAATATTGTTGGATTTTACTGTTTTGGAGAAAACATATCGACGAAAAGACACGCCAGCTGAAAAGATGACGATTAACTTTAGAAATACAGAAATATACCTGCTTAAAAATTGGCGTTTCTAATTTTGGAACTAGCGTTTCCATAAATGGAACAAAGTGCCTTCCAAATTTGGAAACGTTTCCTTTAATGGATACGTATCCATAAATGGACTGCCGATACCATAGTGCGCCCGACTGAACTTGTGGCGGGATACTAACCTGAACCTCGATTCGTAGATAAACACCGAAATTGAAATGATCGTAACCGTACGAACTCAGGTCGCAACTTGCTCGCAACGATGACAAGTCCGACAAGTCCAAGGCCGACAAGTCAAAATCCAAACCAAAATATTTCAACAGATTGCTCTCTGCAGGCTGCAGCTGTGCGACTTGTGTGCGACTAAAACAAATTGAAACTGATCAACAATAAATGTCACCTTTTGGTCTTGCCTAGAAAAACTAATGTAGTCTGCTTTATCATAAATGCCGGTTGATATGTTTGACGAGCCTATCGGTTGATATGTTTTAATATTTTAGTTTTACCTAACAGTTTACTTTCATGTAAAATTTTCATTCACATTGTCAGAAAAAATTAATAAATCAATTTATATACTATCAACGAAAAAAATCACACTATATATCTATTTGAGTTCAAATGCAATTGTTCACAAATGTTCCTGGTTCTGAGCGATGACTATCATTTGGTATTGACTAGCAAATTAAAAAAAAGCAGATGCTATGCATTAACATCAAGCATACAAGATTAAAAAATAGTGTTAAAATACAAAATAGTACTCGTGAGCACAAACCAGTATTAACTTATGCTATTTGTGCTTAAATTTGAACAAAACTCTACCTAAAACTGTAAGGAGAATAAACTAAACGAAGCAATACAACAGCCAGGAGAGTGGACCAGACCGGTAAGTGCAACCGCACGACATCTGGGGCCGATTCGAGATGGCGCACTAGGAAGCTAGTAAGACTAGGCGGCCAAGTGACACTTGAATGTAGTGACACTAAGCGGTATTTTACACCAATCGGCTAGTGGCTCAGCGCGAACCGAAATCGCATAGTGACGCTTGAAATCAAGTGTCACTAGGGCCTTAGTGCGCCAACGCGAATCGGTCCCTGGCATCCGCCACTATTGTACCGCAGACGTTCACGTATGTAGGCTTATTTGCATACGCTGCCGGATGCGGGCTGGTTGGCGGTTGGGAGGCCACCATGGTCGGTGTAACACGAGCCTGCAACCGGTCCTGCTGAAGGGTGTGGCAAGGGAACTGAGCAGAGAGATTAGAGTCCATAGGCGTAGGAACGTTTTCGAAAGTGGGGGGGGGGGGCAGGGTCCCAGAGGTCCAAAACCTAACCTACCCCCAAAATCCGATTTCTCCTCGGATTTCGGCCACTTTGTTTTCGCAAACATGCTCAGAGGTAAAAAAAAAAAAATCGAGACAAAAAGAAAAGAAAAAAAATTGGTTGAAATTTCAGGGAGTCTCCCGTCCATAAACTCAAACTGATGGACGCGTTCCCCTGTCCTCCGCAGCCGTTGGCACCCATGCAAATTCCAGAGGCATCCAGCAACTTTTTCATTACGAGCAAGCGTGAAACGTGCAAAGCGAGTCTTTTCAATATACCTATAAAAATCAGCATGAACGGCCCAGCTAGGCTCAGCCAAGCCTATAACGTTTTTAAGAGGTTTTATATCAGCGACCACTGCAACTGGGCTGATTGACTATCACTTATCAGAGGCCGGTGTGGGACTTTTAGACGGTCTGGGCCTTCAAAGGCCAGTTTAACCCTCCACGGCCCGGTCCTATAGGTTTTCTACATACGCGCTGGCCGAGGGGGCGGGGGGCGGGTACGACCCCCCTCGCCGTTTCGCCCCAGGTGGAGCTAGCGCGTCGCGGTAAAACGAGCGTGTGCGCCGTTACGAGACGCAGAGATCGATACCCGATTTTATGGTCCTAGGTCAACCGGTGACCTCTGACACCGTTCCGTGCTTCTATCCTCAGGATACTGAAATCCTTCTCCACACCGCAACCCCCTCCGGGCTGGACAGGCAACTTTATCTCATGCGGGCTGCTCCCTTGGAGCGGCACCGCTGCTCCCGAGGGAGCGCACCCCGTAGCCGGGTGCAGTGAGTGCCTTGGGGCTGGGTAGCCTGTCCTCTGGACGGGCTCAGCCCCGGCGACTCACTAGGGTGCCTGCCCAGACCAATGTCTCCCCCTATATCCTATCATCCTTCCGGCTCTGAAATGGTCTCATTGGACCGAAAGGGCCTAACCCAACAAAACAAACAAAAACCGGTGACCTCTGAGGTCAGGTCAAGTGCCTCAAGGCACGGTTCCGTTTTTGGTGAATAACTTCGCAAAAAATGGCCGCAGAGCCGCGATTTTGCCAGCATCGTGTTCGCCTCTCTCAGGCGCGTCGAATGATATACTTTTTGTTTGGGTGAGGTAAACTTAGGGTGTTGACCTCGGGTCACGGTCAGGTCGGCGTCCCCAGGTCACGAAATTGGTCGAAGGAGATCATGTCGCATATCATTCGATTCGGCAGGTCTTCTTGAGTCCATAGGTGGCTTTCCCGACTCGCTAGCTCAATTTGATCGGTAGGGGAGAGTGGGGTAATTTGGCCGGTGGTGTAAATTGGCCGCCCCCACCTGTACGATGTCTAATAAAAGTGAGTGAAATAACTCTAGTCTCTATTCATTTGTCATGGGTAGAAATAACTGGAGGACAAATGTCAAAACTTTGCCCCTCGTAGTTTTATTCAAAATTAATAAAACGTTAATTTCATTAGAAAATGTTAACTCTTACTTCTGTTTACGAAGTTGTATAACATGTAGTATTTGGGCTAAAAACGAATTCAGACAATATAGCGCCATTCTTGGGGGTGTTCAGCGGTTCCAAGAGCAATTTCATCTAATTCCGTATAGCCGTGATGACTTTATACACAAAAATTTTCAGAATGGCAATATGGGGTAATTTGGCCGGGACTAGCGGGGCAACTTGGCCGGTGCGCTCATGGTCACTATGCTGGGACGGCCGAGTTTTCATGGTCAATTGTACCATAAATGACATGATTCATGACCAACTTTGACTACTTTGATGCCTTACTTCCGATTGGTCAACTGTAAGAGCATGTGACGTCATCAAAGTTTACCAAACGTTATTTGCTAATAAATCCTTACATAAAAATGGTACAGCCGCACAAATGGTCTCATTCTGTTCAGCTCGCCAAGGCGCATCGAATGATATGCATGATGACCTTGAAATCACGTGACCTTGAGGTCAAGCGACCTGAGGTAACGTGACTTGAGGTCAACCTTTGACCTTGACTTCTCGAGGTCAACACATATATGTTTCGATGCGGAATGACGAGAGAATTACGATGGTACTCGAAGTTTTGGCCTAGCTTGATTACTTCAAAAGTTATTCGTAAAAAACTGTCTACGCATCTAGAGCCGCTAATTTGGCTATTTTGACCCCTGTGACCCCATGAGTCAACCTCCAAAATGTGGTAAATGCGTCAGAGGACACACGTCATTGCTGAATCTGAAGCTGACTCGCAATATAACAGAAAATCCCGACCGCAAACTAACACCGGCCAAATTGCCCCACACCCCCGGCCAAATAACCCTGCTAGTGGGGCAATTTGGCCGTCTTGCAGACCTTTGTAATACGTCACAATTTCAATATAAGTAATTACCCTATCATTTCAAGTTCACTGTCCTGTAAAGTAAAATGAATGCGACACCTGCCAGCGTTGAGAAAATGCAGAAATGTGTCGTCAATTTTAAGTTACATCGTTTTCTAAAAAAAAGCGGCCAAATTACCCCACTCTCCCCTACCTAGTTATTGACGAAAAACTAATAAGACCCTTATAACTTCATAAATGACGTCGCGCAAGGTCAACATTGCAAAAGTGACGCATCGAACTTTGCAAGGAGTGCATGAAATCACGATTCGGTGTGCTTGAGATAGTTGGAGATCGATCGTTCCCGGCGCCAGAAAAAGTTTTCAGTTTATCCCCATTGACTTAAACCTAATGGTGAGGTCACGAAAATGACCTGACCTCATATGAACTTTAGGAAAAATCCGAGATATACATTATACAAGTTGAGAGACTCCTATTGGATACTAGGTCCTCCAAGGTTCATTTCCCTGTGAAATCTCCTCTGGCAGTGAGGGCGTTGCGAAGTTGCGACATCTGAAGACCGTGCAGAGGTTCACTTATGACCACATGGGTCAGTGACCTGATCTGACCCGAAAATGCGGTTGGTGTCAAAAGATCCCGTTTGATTCAAAGGTCAGGTATGCCAAGCTTCAGCTCTCTATCGCCGGCGTGTTCGGAGCTATCGCGAAAAAAAAAACTATGGAGGGGCGGCACCCCCCCCCCCCGGCCGGCGAGGGTTAAGGCCCTCAGAGACCAGTACAGGGCCTGCAAAGGGCAGGATGAGACCTTAAGATGCCGACTTGGGCCATCAGAGGCTAATGTGGGTCCTTACAGGCCAGTATGGGCCCTCAGAGGTCAGTGTGGGACCCTAAAATGCCGGCATGGGCCGGTGTTGGACCCCAGAGGCCAGCAGAAGACCCTCAAAAACCAAGATGGGCCTCAGAGGCCAGCATCGGGTCTTCAGAATCCAGTGCAAGGCCCTCAGAGACTAATGCGTGTCCTTACAGGCCAGCATGGGCCCTTAGAGGTCAGTGTGGGGCCGTAACAGACCGGCATGGGCGGGACTTGGAACCTAGAGACCAGCGGAGGGCCCTCATAGGCCAAGGTGGGCCCTCAGAGGCCGATGCGGACCCTTGGAGACCGGCATCGGAACTCCGGAATCCAGTGCGGGGCCCTTAGAGGTCAATGTGGGACCCTAAAATACCGGCATGGGCCGGTGTTGGAACCCAGAGACCAGCAGAAGGCCCTCAAAAACCAAGATGGGCCTCAGAGGCCGGCATCAGGTCTTCAGAATCCCGTGCAAGGCCTCATAGGCTAATGTGGGTCCTTACAGGTCAGCATGGGCCCTTAGAGGTCAGTGTGGGGCCCTAAAAGACCGGCATGGGCCGGCGTTGGACCCCTCAGGCCAAGGTGGACCCTCAGAGGCCGATGCGGACCCTTAGAGGCCGGCATCGGGTCTTCAGAATTCAGTGCGGGGCCCTCAAAGGCACCTAAAGGCTAGTCTTGGGACCCCAGAGACAGAAATGAGGCCACCAGAGGCCGGTGTGAGGCCCTCAGACGCCGGCTGGGCCCTTGAGGCCGGTTTAGGGGCCCTCAAATGAGGTCAATGTGGGTTCTCAGCGGTCAATGTGGTCGCTTGACCGCCACTGAAGGGCCCTCCGAGATCAGTGTAGGACCCTCAAAGACTGGTTTGGGAGCTGTTTATAGCTAGCGTGGGATTCTTGAGTCTCGTGACAATCGAATAAGGGCCAGAGCCCCATACGCCCATACGCCCCCAATACGCCCATGGGGGCCCATTGGTTGTTTGGGGGGGCCAAATGATATGATGGCCCCCTGATTAGCCTTTGGAGGGGGGAAGGGCATGGCCCTGATCCCCTCTGCGACCGCCACTGCACTGAAAGTGGAAGGGGGAGGGGCAGAAACAGACATTGCTGGCCCCCAGCCTGTTTGAACCGAGGCTGAGGCACGGTCACCCTGGCCCCCAGCTAGAACGCCTTTGACGAACTATGCCGACCCCAAGCAGATAAGGTCAAGCGTTGGTCGTTTGTATACGCATTCTCCTGCACCGTGCTAGTATTGTCTTAGTATTGCCTATACCTTTTTAGTGCTGGCTGTCCCGCGCCTCGTATTCAACAAAATGCTGTCACCAGGACTCACAGTCTTGTCTCTGATATGGTTTCCTTCATTGAGTGAAGGAAATTGCGGTCAATAACGCTGTAGAAACTAAAAGGAATCCTCATTAAAG